TGCTATTCAGCAGCTGTAACCAAGCCAGGCACAGTAGCGGGCACAGCAGTTGGGCTAAAGGAGAAACTCCTGGAAGATTCAGGTTTGAGTAGTATACTACTTCCCGGTTTTGCAGACTTTTCCTTACCAAAGGAAGTTTCGCTCTGAATCTCATGGATATGGTGAACGGCCTAGAATGGACTACATTAAACTGCAGAAGCATCTCTAACAGAATATCCCCAGCATTCTGTGCCTTTCTAAAAGTTTGCGGATAAGAGAATAACTAGCTCAGAGAAGACAAAAGAAGGTCAGATTTAGCTCAACGGACACACAAATGCAACCCACAACGACAGACACGGAACAAGTGAAGCTCTCAACGATTAGGGGACCTCCGTCTTCTTCCATATTACAGACTTCCGAGTCTCCTTTGGCAGGAAGGACCAAGATAAACTTGGTTATTTTCCTATTATCTCTCCCGTCTGCCAGAAGACCAGAATGGGCATTCACTTCCTGGAGATGCCTTGCTATATTTTTAAGAAGACAGAAGCCAAAGTTGCAGGCGGTGTGCGTATAGGAGCAAGAGGGAAGGATAAATCTGTTGTTTCATTCCCCATTTATGGGAATCTACAGTTTCTTTCTTTTTGCAAAAATCAGTTTTTTCTCATTTTCACAGCTACAGTACATCAAGCAAGGGGATGCGTATTTTCTTTTTAGCTTGCAGTTACCCTGCATACATTGGGTGCACATTTCTCTGAACATGATTGTATACATTTGTTATGAATTCTGTGATGTCTTTCATAAACAGATGCATTTTTGTACAGGTTTTTGTTTTTCGAATACAATTTTCGAAAATGGAAAGGGCACAACTCAGAAGCCTGCAAATTTGATGGACAGCTAAGGAAGGGTACAGAAATGGGTTTCAGTTTTGCAAAATCAGATTCCCATCTCCTGGGCATGGATGGATGCCCAGTTGGTCAGCCCATTCTCCATCCACAAATTAGCCCCTCTAGTGTTTCCTTCTCTAATTGTGTTTCACCTACCAGAATTTCCCAATTCTCCAAGGCTGGGAAACAGTTTTTAAAAATAAAAATAAAAATAGGCAGGTGAGAAAAGTTGAATATCAAATTATGCATCTTTTTGATTTTCAAGGTCAGCAAAATATACCACATCTGGAAATAAACCTATGCCAAAGTAGCTTTTGAAAAGAAATTAAACCAGGAGAGAAAACACTAAAAGGAAATAAAAAGAAATGTGATTTTCCCCGCCTCTGTGCCTCTCCAGTTACAGGGGGGCAATTCCCATAATCTTCCAATGGCAGGTGCAAATTCAAAAAAACGGGAGTTACATCAACTAAACCCCCAAAATGCAACATCTGGAAACATCCCCAGTGGACCAATAGGGCAAAATGAATCCTGAATTTTAGGGAAGGTGTCAGAGAAAGTTTGTACTTGAATTTTAAAATTACGGCTAATCTTTGGCGTGCGACTGTAATTCAACCTGGAATTACAATTGTAAGTCACGTTTCACAACTGCCTTGTTTAGCCACAACCTGCAGTTACAACAGTGATGGAAAAGTAACTATATGAGCAATCCTCACATGCAGGTTTCTAAAGCAAAAGAAAGCCGAAAAAAGGATCATAACACAGTTGTGGTTTCAATTAGCGTCCACTTTCAATGGCCAGTCCCAATTGGAGTTGCTAAAGGAGGACTCCCCTTACACACCCACAGACCCACAGACCCACACCCACACCCACACATACATACATATTACATCAAGCTTTTTCAAAAGCTTGCATTTCTTAGTTTCAGTGTAAAGGGAATCCTCCTTTATATATATATATACATATATACATCAAATATATACATCCTATATATATCCTATATATATAGGATTTGATGCCTATTTTTAAATCAGATTTTTAAAACAATGCCCCATTAAAACAATTGCATTTGTCAGAATTATTCTTCAGAAGGCTGCTAGGTTTTAATTTATCCATCCTATACTAAGTCTGTTACAAGTCTCTATTAGTTACTCTATGTCGTTTCCCCTAATCTGGGAATTGTAGTTTACTTCTTATCGAAAGCAATTCTGTATCGATGTGCATTACAAAGGACTTTGACAAAATTGCAAACAATTGGAGACGACATCTCGCCTCCTCTTGAGAAAATAGCAAAAGAATGAAGCTAAGTAAAGTGCTCTGATTTAATGCTATTCTTCATCTTCATGTATTGATTTCAGCTCCCGAAAAGGAAAGTTTGCAAGGGGAGGTCAAAACATGTCAGGGAGTTACAGGGTCCTTGGTGCTCTCTGAGCTTGGTTGTTAATTTTTTTGCAAATTTTTCATTACCCAAATAGGTAACATCATCAGTGCTAGAAGGAATGGGATTTGCTCCCTATTCATATACAAGTGGCTTGCCCTATCGGTGTCAGTGTTGGTGGGAATGTTCTTGGTGGTTCCAAGGCTGTTGTTTACTATTTGAGTGTTTGAGTTGGTGGCTCCTTGATTGGGGTAATGAATCTCTGCTTATCTAGGTGTTCCTTGCAATTGAATTGGGAAACTAGGAGCAACTTTAACCAAGCTGAGTCCAAAAATAATTCATGGAAGCCTGGCATTCAGACAAATCAGCCATCAACGGGTGCTTGGAAATAAACAACATCTACATATCATTTAGAGCATTTAGAGCAACTTTAACCAAGCTGAGTCCAAAAATAATTCCTGGAAGCCTGGCATTCAGACAAATCAGCCATCAACGGGCGCTTGGAGATAAACAACATCTACATATCATTTAGAGCATTTAGAGCAACTTTAACCAAGCTGAGTCCAAAAATAATTCCTGGAAGCCTGGCATTCAGACAAATCAGCCATCAACGGGCACTTGGAGATAAACAACATCTACATATCATTTAGAGCATTTAGAGCAACTTTAACCAAGCTGAGTCCAAAAATAATTCCTGGAAGCCTGGCATTCAGACAAATCAGCCATCAATGGGCACTTGGAGATAAACAACATATACGTACCATTTAAAAGAGACAATCCAAAAGCTAAAAGACCACAACCCCTCCTTGCCAGCAATCAATATCCAGATCAGCAGAGATTAACACCAAGATTAATACCAGGCCAACAATCAAAATGTAAACGATACCCCAATCAAGGATATACCAACTCAAACAAGCAAGTTAACACTAAAACAACAACAACCACAACAACCTAATCAAGAAACCACCAAGAACCACCAACGCTGACACTGATAAGGCAGACCACAAAGAGCCAACCCCGTTCCCTTCTAGGACTGATGGTGTTCCTTAGTTGGGTCATGAAAGATCTGTAAGAACACTACCAAGCTCAGAGAGCACCAAGGACCCCATAGGTCAACTCTTTTCTTCCAGTCAGGAAGGTGTTTGCCATCATATAATTTATTTGTTTCATTTTGTTTTATATATTAAATTTATATGCCACCCATCTCACTATCCAAAGCAACTCTGGCTGGCAATTATTAAAGTGCTGCCCTATTTTTCCAATACAAGTTATATGCACAGGACATCTAAAAAGGTGTGGCCTTCACCCGCGACCACGTGTGGACTGATTTGAGTCCCTCTCCTCCCCTCTGACTCTCTTCCTTGAGGGTGGGTAAAACAACATGATTTAGCAAGGAGAATGAGCCCTTCAGAGGCCCTCTCTCTTCCTCATAATTGAAATTATTTGTCAGTGGCTTGACCTTAAATTAATTGATATTCTGTCTATTCTCAAAGGAAAGAAATACAATGGCGAGAAGAAGAAGCAAGGAACAGGTTCTTACAAGTGGAAGGCAGAATTATCTAGATCAGTGTTTCCCAACCTTGGTTCCTTGAAGAGGTATGGATTTCAACTCTCTGGGAATTGATATCACATTTCTTCAAGGGACCAAGGTTGGAAAACGCCGATCTAAAACCTCTTGTACAAGTACCGTGTTTCTCCAAAAATAAGACATCCTCCAAAAATAAGCCCTCCCCAAAAATAAGCCCTCCCTGAAAATATTTAAATGCATGCACAGCCGGTCCCCGCCATTTCCTCTGGTTAGGGTTAGGGAGACAGAGCTGGAAATCAGGTAAGACGGCAAAAGAAGCCCCGTCTTGCTCCACGCGCCCCAAAATAATAAGACCTCCCTGAAAATAAGACCAAGGGCTTATTTCGGGTTCAAAAAAATATAAGACAGGGTCTTATTTTCGGGGAAACATGGTAGTTGGATGAAACATAGTGGTTGCATTATAAAATCATAACTCCACTAGAAGCACCCCCTTTTCTTCCAACTTTCCTTCCCCCACTCCACAAAAAAAAACCACTCCCAAATTCCTGCAAAATTTCCAATGTAGTTCAGTTTGAACCAGGGAGAAGTAGCTATGAAAGGAACCTTTGAGCCGACGGCTGTAATGTCCAAATCATGCTATACTTGGGAGCCATTTTGCAGCTTGATTGAAACATTTCATCTATTGGTATAATATAATAATAATAATAATAATAATAATAATAATAATAATAATAATAATAATAATAATAATAATAATAATAATAACAACAACAACACAGTCAGCCAGATGTTCAGACTGGGTTTGGCATTTTTGTTTACCCAAGGATCAGGGATAGGCAGATCTGGATGTTTGATGGTGTTACAGATATCGACACAGGATGTAAGCTTTTTCCAAGTCAAGCTGCCTTCTGCAATTGACTGAAGGCAAATTTATCAATGCTCATGGTGTTCAACTGGTGCGCCAGTTGTTTTGGGACTGCACCCAAGATCCCTATTACTATTGGTACTATTATTATAAACTTTTAATAAGGGCCTTGGGTGCAGTCCCAAAACAACTGGCGCACCAGTTGAACACCATGGGCATCGACAAATTTGCCATCAGTCAATTGCAGAAGGCAGCTTGACTTGGAACAGCTTCCATCCTGTGAAGATATCTGTAACACCGTCAAACATCCAGATCGGCCTATCTCAGGTCCCTGGGTGGTATTATTATTATTATTATTATTATTATTATTATTATTATTATTATTATTATTATTATTATTATTATTAAAAATGAAATGACAAATGAAAGCACATCTCTTTCCCAATCGAACAGAGGGCTGCAGGCAAGCCTCAGGTCCAAGGGGCAAGTTGGATACTAGCGGGCTTCTTCCTTGGGTGTCCTGTGACTTGCGTGCAGCCACAGTAGCTACCCATCTGCACCAAATCCAGAACTGGAACCTCTGTGTTCTACTTTTGAGAAAGGCCTCCCCCTCCCCCCAAGTCACCATCGAGACACCACCCTCCCAAGTCCAGCCTGCTGAATTCAACTTCCCCGGAAACCTGCAGGCCCCACCAAGGCCAGTCCTTCTCAGCCACTATGGGAGCCTAGACCCAGGACGGAGAAGGTGGCCCGGTGTTTGCGCAACAGGAGACGGATCTTCTCGTCATCGGAGTCTGGATCCAAGGGCTTGTTGTATTCGTCATCCTCATCAGAGACGGTGCGCTCGCCTGGTCCAGCTCCTGCTTGTGGGGAAGAGGAGGAAGGCTCCAGGGCACTCTTCTTCCTCCATTTGGTGCGCCGGTTCTGGAACCACACCTGGGAAGGAGGGGGGGAGGGAGGCAAGGCCATCAGGGATCCTTGGGTTACAAGAACATGGCCTAGACTTGAACTAGGGATGGGCAATCTAATAGCCCCTGAGACATCTAAGCCCCTTGGCCCCAGTCTTGACCAGAAGTTAATTGGCCAAATGTGATTGACTCTTCCCAGAGAGTCTGTCATTGTGGGAGGAAACAGAAAGGAGGAACTGGTTGTTACAGAGAAGGAAGAATGAGAGTGGTGGCTCCAGGGGTGGGCTTCAAAAACTTTAGCAAGGGGTTCTCTGCTCGGTTGTTGGGTGGGCGTGGCCATGGTGGGCATGGCCTAGTCAGCACCATGGCGGGGGTGTTTTTGCCCTCCCCAGGCTCCTTCAAAACTCCGGGAGGGCAAAAACGGCCTCCCCAGGCTCCGGAGGCCTTCTGGAGGCCAGAAACAGGCCCGTTTCCGGCCTTCCCAAACTTCCAGTAGGCCCGTTTTTTGCCCTCCCTGAGCCTCCGCATGTACCCTGCACTTACCTGCATCCAAAACAGGCCACTTGGGGACTCCTGGGAGGGGCAGGGCGGGGTGGGTGGGGCGGGGCCAGCCAGGAGTGGCATTTGGGGGTTCTCTGAATTGCACAGAATCTTAGCTAGAGGTTCTCCCAAACCCCTGCGAACCCCTAGCAACCCACCCCTGGCAGTGGCTCTCAGGAAGATAAATTTAATAGACTTCCTGTTGCAGTTGCCACTCTATCTTGGAGCACAAAGATCTGGCAAAATGTTGTACCCTTGATGGAGTCTCCGACTGCATAGTCTAGACCAGAGCTGTCAAACTCCTGGCTCATGGGCCAGATGTGTCACGCACTGGCCACGCCCATGCCTGGTTTAGCGAAGGGGGGAAAAGTCCTGATATGTCATGTGATGCTGCTGTGACGCCGTTTGACACTCCTACTCTAAACAATTAATTGATTTGATCACTTGGCTCAAAACCTTTAGAGGGTCAAAGTAAAGTACCAAGAATGTTTTCCACTACACTGGGACACAGACTTAAATAATAATTAAATAATTAATTTTTTAAATAATTAAAAAATTGAAATGTTTTCCTCGTTCTCATGTGGAAGAAGATGCCATTTTCTAAGGCAGCAATGCCTGCGTTATTTGAAGTCTCTTTCTCCCATCCACCCGCTTTGGAACCATCAATTAATTTCTGCTCGTATTTATGAAGATTTAATCCCACCATTAACCCACTGACAAGCTCATCAGATGAATTGACTGTACGCGCTCCAATGGGGTGGCTGTCTTAATGGGTTGTTGAGCTTTTAATTATTAATTTAGAGGCAATCCATAGCCACGTTTATTTTTTCAAAAAAAGAGAGGGCGAAAGAACACGGTTCAAAAAGGAGTAACCAAGACATCAAAACTCTTGAACTTTGAACGAGCCATCTCCAGCTTGACCCTTTCCAAATGTGAAAGGACTAGGAGTGGTCCACAGGGATAGGGTGATTTTTATGTGGGTCACATTAAAAAATGGCAGGGCTTCAACTGCGTGAAGGTAACTACCCTGTTTCCCCGAAAATAAGACCCAACTGGAAAATAAGCCCTAGCATGATTTTACACGATGCTCGTAATATAAGCCCTACCCCCAAAATAAGCCCCAGTTAAGATTGTCAGCCAGATGGATGCATTTAGTACCATATTTCCCCAAAAATAAGACCTAACCAGAAAATAAGCCCTAATGCGTCTTTTGAAGCAAAAATTAATATAAGACCCGGTCTTATTTTCGGGGAAACACCGAAAGTACCATCCTGACTTTTTTGATCCCGTCCCTGAAGACTTCTCCGGAAAGGACTCTCAACCACTGAATTCCTTTACCAGGATGTTCAAAGCTAAAGATTTTCCTGTAAACTGAAAAAGATGTACCTCCAGTAGATTGTGGGAAAGTGTCAGACTGGGCTTGGTTGCCCTCAACACTTCAGTTTTTCATATCCTAGTTGAGTCACAATTCAGCCTGTCAATCTGTCACATACTCTTGTGAGGATAGGCAGCTGTCATGTTGACATGAAGGCTGAATTTTAGAAAAATAAATGGGCAGCTTTGTTAGGAGGAGGTTTCTGGCACAGGCCAAACTTGACTCGGAAGCGGCTATCTTTTTGGCGCTTTCTGCTCATGGCAAGCTGGCGGCCTTAAAAGCAAAAGAAAGCCATTTGGGTGCAGGGTGGGTTGCCCCCGGTTCAGACAGGTTTGCAAGAACTGGTAGTAAAACCTGCGGGAGGCTCCGCCCACTGACCCGGATGTCATCAAAGTTGATCTGTGCATGCACAAAAGAGTGTGCACAGGAATGATGCAAACCAGTAGTAAAGGTAAGTAGAACCCACCCGTAGTTGGGTGTCTTTCATTTTAACATTGGGTAGAAGTTCAATGAAGACAAAAGTGTCATCATGTCTGTGTCTTTAATTGACGTGTCTAGGGCCATCCGGAGCCTGAAATAGATTTAGCTGCATCACCTTTTGAGTTGAGGAAATGGACACAGACTCAATTCTGCTCCATCATTGGAGGCGGGAGTTCTGTTTTTATCCCAAGGCAAGATGGGCACTGCCCATGCACACTTTTCAGGGTACCTGCCACATTCGAGGTTGATAGATAAATTATAGATTAGAAAGGGAAAAGTGATGGATGATGCTAGATAGATAGAAATAGATTATAGAGAGAGAGGTGATAGATAATGACAGATGATAGATTAGAGAGAGAGAAAGGTGATAGATGATAAATAATATCTGATAGATAGACAGAGATGATAGATGACAGAGAGATGATGATGATATATGGATAGACAATGATATGAGAGAGAGAGAAAGAGAGAGAGAGAAGTTAGATAGATGATAGATAGATGATAGATAGATAGATAGATAGATAGATAGATAGATAGATAGATAGATAGATGATAGATAGGTAGATAGATGATAGATAGATGATAAATGACAGTAGATGATAGATAATAAATGACAGATAGATAGATAGATAGATGATAGATAGATGATAGATGATAAATGATAGTAGATGATAGATAGATGATAAATGACATAGATAGATAGATAGATAGATAGATAGATGATAGATAGATGATAGATAGATAAATGACAGACAGATAGATGATAGATAGATGATAGATGATAAAAGATATAGATAGATGATTGATAGATAGATGATAGATGATAGATAGATAGATAGATAGATAGATAGATAGATAGATAGATAGATAGTTAAGAGAAAGAGAGTGAGAGAGAGAGATGATAGATAGATAGATAAAATAGGAGAGAAAAACGATACATGATATAGACAGGCATGTAAATAGATAAGGTGTAAAAATCCTTCAAAGGAGCTCTCTCGGACTATGTGTGACTCCTGCAGAGCAGCTGTTTTTAAATCAGAAGTATAAAGAAGCAGCTTCCAAAGTAGACACATACTTCTAATATGCGTGCCTACTAGGTGCTTTGTAGGCACTTCCAATAGATGATGGATGGATGGATGGATGGATGGATGGATGGATGGATGGATGGATGGATGGAGTGATGGAGTGATAGGGCTGATGGACAGCTCAGGCTCCGCCTCTGTCTTTGACAGCTCCATTCCCTCTTCCCCCTCGGAGCTCTCAGGTTGCCTTAATGCTGACCCTGACTCCCACACCTCCTTCTCCTCCTCCGATTCAGCTGCTGGAGGGGCCGGCGGCCGACAGCCACAACAGAAGGTGGATTATCTATGAAGCTGACCTTTACCAACCCTTGGCCCTGAGGGTCTACCTGCCTTGTTCTCCAAAGTTTGAGTATGCAAAACTCACCTTTACCTGGGATTCACTCATGCCCAGGGAATATGCCAGTCGTGCCCGCTCAGGCCCAGCCAAGTATTTGGTCTGCTCAAAGGTTTTCTCCAGGGCAAAGATCTGGTGGCCTGTGAAGGTTGGCCGTGTGTGTTTCTTCTTGTGGAGGCCATCACCAAGGTGCCCTGCGGCTGTGTGAAGGGAGACGGGCAGCATGGTCATTGACTGGCATCCAGCTTCCCCCAGGGGCAGCACTCAAAGCTAACTAATGTTTTGAACCCCAAAGCTTCTGGGCAGGATGATTCTCTATAATTTCTTCTTTCCCCATGCTGGACGTTGATGGAAGCTGAGCTTACTTGATGTTGAAGGCTTCAGCAACTTCCCAGGAGACTTTCTTTAGCAATAGCCCTTAGACTTATATACCACTTCACAGTGCTTTACGGCCCTTTTTAAGCGGTTTATAGAGTCAGCCTCTTGCCCTCCGATAATCTGGGTCCTCATTTTACCGACCTCGGAAGGATGGAAGGCTGAGTCAACCTCGAGCCGGTCAGAATCGAACTCCTGGCTGTGTGCAGAGTTTGCCTGCAATACTGCATTCTAACCACAATGCCACCATGACTCTATACTGCTTCACAGTGCTTTTACAGCCCTCTCTAAGCGGTTCACGGAGTCAGCATCTTGCTCCCAACGATATGGGTCCTCATTTTACCCACCTAGGAAGGATGGAAGGCTGAGTCAACCTTGAGCCTGGTGAGATTTGAACTGTCGAATTGCAATCAGTCAGCAGAAGTGGCCTGCAGTACTGCACTCTAACCACTGTGCCACTGTGGCTCATAGATGGAAAGGTGCTGTCACCCATATTCGCTCCATAAGACGCACAGACATTTCCACCTACTTTTGTGGGGGAAAAGTGCGCCTTATGGAGCGAAAAATATGGCAACTTTCTCAGTGAGGGGACATTTTTACATTTGGTCCAATTTCAGCCTTTTCCTTCACGGATGAGCCAATCTGGCAGATCTTGGTATTTATGCCCTTGGGTCTGTAGTACCACCTCTGGGATATCCAGATGAAATGCCAGGGGCTTCTTAAAAAGCTCACAAACACAAGAGCCTGGACCTCTCCCCAAGAAAGAAGGCTCTAGTTAGAGCTGTGTGACACGACAACCTGCAGACTCAGTTTTGAAAGCAGTTCCGTCCATTTGCTTCTTTGAATCGACGTTCTAAATCAGGTTGCCCAGCTCAATCCACACGTCATCCCTAGTCAAGTGTGCAAACCAGCATCTGCATTTCCTGCGTCGGATGAGGAAAGCACATCTTTCTTCTATCCTGGCCACTTTTTACAGAGGCACAACGGAGAGCGTTTTAACAAACTGCATCCCTGTTTGGTTTGGTGGCAGCGGCACCTCAACTAGAAAGCTCCTACAGAGAGTGGTGAGGACAGCAGAGAAGATCATAAGAAGCTGACTTCCTGTCATTCAGGATGCTGCTTATAAGCACTATGTGCTTAGAGCTCAAAGCATTGTGAGAGGCGCCCACACACCCACTTCACGTTTGATTCTGTTGCTCCCCTCTGGGAGGGGGTTTTGAAGTATTTCTAGCGGGACTAAAAGGTTCTGTAACAGCTTTGTTCCCTCTGCCATCCATCTGGTAAACTCACAAGATTTGTTTTTCCCGCCATGTACATGTATACATCTGGACTAGACTGTGTTGTTTCTCTGTCTCATATAATATATGTGGGTATATGCGTAATTTTGTATTTATTTATTTTGTCATGTTTACGTAGGGCATATTGGAGGTGCTGAACTTTTGAGAGCTGTGTGCAACGAAATTTCATTTTAATGTATGCCGATTAGCGTACTTCCAAAGTGACAATAAAGTTATTCTAAAGTCTAAGTCTAATCCAATGCCTCAAAATCAATTAACCCTCTCAACGTACGTTTAATCATGCATGTGCCGATCGAGAGAAATAGTGGCATCGCTTTAACTAGTTGACTCCCAAATTTGAATCGATTGAAATATTCAGAGCAAACAGCCAATCCCAATTCACCCTCTGCTGTTTTTTTTTTAAGGTGTGTGTGTGTGTGTGTTTGTGTGTAGGTGTGAACGAGTGAGACTTTACTATGGTTGTGTCCCTGTCCCTTTCTACCAGTCCAATACATGTCATTTTAATAGCTGAAGCTTGTCTCGGAGTGTGTGGTTTTGCAGAGGTCAACCATAGAATAGAATAGAATAGAATAGAATAGAATAGAATAGAATAGAATAGAATAGAATAGAATAGAATAGAATAGAGTAGAAGTAGAAGTAGAAGTAGAAGTAGAAGTAGAAGTAGAAGAGAGGAGAGGAGAGGAGAGGAGAGGAGAGGAGAGGAGAGGAGAGGAGAAAGAGAGGAGAAAGAGAGGAGAGGAGAGATGATGGGAGGAGAGGGGAGGGAAGGAGAGGAGAGAAAAGGAGAGAAGAGAAGGAGAGAAGGGGAAAGAGAGGAGAGGGGAGGGGAGGAGAGGGGAAGGGTGGAGAGAATGTAGACTAGACTAGACTAGATAGACTAGACTAGACTAGACTAGGATAGGATAGGATAGCATAGAATAGAATAGAATAGAATAGAATAGAATAGAATAGAATAGAATAGAATAGAATAATAGAATAGAATAGAATAGAATAGAATAGAATAGAATAGAATAATAGAATAGAATAGAATAGAATAGAATAGAATAGAATAGAATAGAATAGAATAGAATAGAATAGAATAGAATAACAGAGTTGGAAGGGACTTTGGAGGTCTTCTAGTCCAACCCCCTGCTTAGGCAGGAAACCCTCCACCACTTCAGACAAATGGTTATCCAACATCTTCTTTAAAATTTCCAGTGTTGGAGCATTTACAACTTCTGGAGGCAAGTTGTTCCATTGATTAATTGTTCTCACTGTCAGGAAATTTCTCCTTAGTTCTAAGTTGCTTCTCTCCTTGGTTAGTTTCCACCCATTGCTTCTTGTCCTGCCCTCAGGTGCTTTGGAGAACCATGTTTCTAGGAATCTCAGTTTGCGCAGAAGATGGTAACCTCTAGAGCCTGCTCCGGAGTACAATTGGGGGGGGGGGTTTCTGCACCCTTTGCTGTCTCTCTCTCTCTCTCTCTGCAAGATAAATTCCAGTATGGAATATCTTTTTGCTTCTTCTCCATTGAGTCCTTTTTGGGGGGTCTACGATGATTCGAAAGGCTAGGAGATTCTACCCAAGAACGCAATGAAGTTTTGGGGTTCAGATGGCCCCCACCAGCTCTTCAGGGTAAAAAGAAAGAGAGTCCTTTTCCTCACAATGAAAAAACACGGGGTCGATAGTTGGCCCTGCCCTTGCTACTAATGAGTTGCTCCTTGCCTCTTTCCTAGCTCTTAATTGAGCTTCCTATCAGCTACCCTGGACTCCCTGTCACCATCCGTCATTCCAAGGGGCACTGGGGTGGCAGCTCAGATCCAGAGGGTTTTTGGCCTTTGTCTAGGAAAACGAGCAGACCAGGAAGATTCGAGAAATCTTTCCGTTCCCCCCACCCCCTCCGGTGAATCTGGTGGGCTTCTTAGAAGGCCATTTAAAAAACAAAAAAAAAATTCTTTGTGATGCTAAATTTCCAAACAAAAGTGAGTGCAGGAATTTGAGGCAAGAGGACAGATAGGCACAACTCCAGAAATGGGGAAAAGTCATCTGTGAGTGATGCAGCAGAGGCAAAACCTCTGCACATGTTCCATCACGGACTTGCTGTTCTAACTCTAGCATCTCTGAACTTTCTCTTGATTTGGAAAGAAGGACCAGGGGAGACAGGATAGCAGTCTTCCAAGATCTCAGGGGCTGCCCCAAAGAAGAGGGAGTCAAGCTATTCTCCAAAGCACCTGAAGGCAGGACAAGAAGCAACGGACGGAAACTAAACAAGGAGAGAAGCAACTTAGAAGTCAGGAGAAATTTCCTGACAGTTAAAACAGTGGAACGACTTCCCTCCAGAAGTTGTAAATGCTCCAACACTGGAAGCTTTTAAGAAGAGGTTGGATAACCACTTGTCTGAAGTGGTGTAGGGTTTCCTGCCTAAGCAGAGGGTTGGACTAGAAGATCTCCAAAGTCCCTTCCAACTCTTCTATTCTAATTCTAATTCTGGTTTTGTTCTGTTGTTCTGTGCTATTTTCTCTCTTCTCTTCTCCTCTCCCTCCTTCCTCTTCTTTCTTCCTCTCTCCCTCCTCCCCTCCTATGCTTTCTCTTCTCTTCTCTTTCTCATTCTCATTCTCATTCTCATTCTAGTTTTGTTGTTCTGTGCTATTCTATTCTATTCTATTCTATTCTATTCTATTCTATTCTATTCTATTCTATTCTATTCTATTCTATTCACATTACTGCTGCGGAGGTTTGTACGTTCCTCAGCCTTGGCGGCTCTATCATGTTCTATATTTATCAGCAACTCCATAAAATGTAGCCTATACTCTTATTTCTATCGAAAAACAGCCCATCTCATCCCTTAGAATCTTATTCAGATCGCCCCTCTTTCCGGGACCTCCCAACGTCACTCAGCCTTCCGTTCCAACAAAAATCCACATTCAGCTTCCTCGGCAAATTAATCCTCCCTTCTATATAGTTTGTGCTCCATTTTTTTTTCTTCCCCCTCCCCTCCACAGTGGTATCTTCTCTACAGGAATTGGGTTGTAAGAGCTCTGGAGCTGAGACCTGCCCATGTCACCTTGGAAAACACCACACATTTAAAACCAACCAGCACCCCATAATAAGTCACTGGAATGACCGCACAAATCCTGGGACCAGGTTCCAAGTCTGATTAAGTTTTGCTACCTATCCTTCGCCCTTTGAGACCAATGACACCCCCTATGGGGTGCTCTCAACCACCACCAATGATCACCGTGTCCCCATGCCATGCAGCTTTCCCCATGCCTAGTTTGTTACTTACAGTTGCCACATACTCGGCCTTCGTGCCATTCCTGGACTGGTTCGGCCCAACAGCTCCTGCCCCTGGCTCCATATTCGCTTCCCGTCTTGGCGAAATTGCCCATTTGGGGACCATAGTACATGCCTTGGGCGCCCAGTCCGTTGAATCCCCCAACATGGGAGTAGCCGGAGAGGAGGATGTTATTTGGAGGAGCCACCGGTCTGCTGAGGATGTCACTGATGCCGTGCGGTGTGCCAGACGCCAACTGGGCACTGAGTCCAGGAGGACTGAGTTTGTAAAAGGAGTTTTGCATTGAATACTGGCACATGGGGGTTTTCACTTCCGCGAACGGGGACAGGGGAGGGCCGTTGAGGAGAAATGTCCCCTGCAGGTTGGAGTCCATAGCTCGACCGCTTGCTGGCAAAGGCGCCTACCGAGGAGTGACACTTCTACGCTTCCCAAGGCGCTTGGCTCGTTGGCAATGCCATCCCGAGGCCCTAGGAATGCCAACCTGCGGTTCTTTCTGGAAAGCCCTTTTGCTGGGATCAAGGCAGGTGGGACCCCGGAGCTGCACTGCTGGCCGAGGCAACAGTGACCCAAGTCCATGAGTTTCCTGCAAATTCTGAAACCAAGACTGACTGACTGAGTGGCCACCACGCTGAACTTCAAAGGAAGCTCCCTCTCCTCTGATAAAAGACTGGGCTGATTAGAATATCAGCCCTCGGATAGGTTGGAGGCCTTGGGTTCTCCCATTTCTCATTGGGCTCCGTTTGAGCGCAGGACCTGGATTGGCTGCTCGGAGATAAATGGCCCTTTGAGAGCTCCACGGTCAACACCAGAACCTTAACACATGGCTAATAATGCTGGCAGGAGGGAGGAGAAAAAGATAGAGGAGGCTGCCTTTGCTTTGGGGGGGGGTGATGGATGGAGTGAGAGAGGAGAGAGAAAGACAGAGAGAAAGAAAAAGAAAGAAGAGAGAGGGAGACAGGGAAAGAAAGAAGGAAGGAAGGAAAGAAAGATAAAGAAAAAGAAAGAAAGAAACAACAAATGAAAAGGGGGAGAGGGGGAGAGGGGGAGAGAGAGAGAAGGAAGGAAAGAAAGGAAAAGAAAGAAGAGAGAGGGAGAGAGGGAAAGAAAGAAGGATGGAAAGAAAGAGAAAAAGGAAGAAAGAATGAAAGAAGAAATGAAAAAGAAGAGAGGGGGAGAGGGAGAAAGAGAGAGAGAGAGAAGGAAGGAAGGAAAGAAAGAAGAGAGAGGGGGAGAGGGGGAGAGAGAGAAGGAAAGAAAGAAAGATGAGAGAGAGAAGAAAAAGAAAAAGAATGAAGACAGATGGAGAGAGAGAGGGAGGGAGAGAGGGAAAGAAAAAAGGAAGGAAGGAAGGAAGGAAGGAAGGAAGGAAGGAAGGAAGGAAGGAAGAAAGAAAGAAAGAAAGAAAGAAGAGAGAGGGAGAGAGGGGGAAAGGAAGGAAGGGAGGGAGGGAGGGAGGGAGGGAGGGAGAGAGAGAGAGAGAGATCAACCAAAGGAAATCTAGACAGCCCAACTTTACAATTTAGTAGCATACAACCTCCTAACACAGTGCCTGTAGGAGAAGACCTTGAGATAGAAAATACAGATGCATTTTTTTTTACAATAAAGCCAGCTGAAGTTCCAGGAGGACCAGACAAGTTGGATCCTTGGGGTTCCAGCCCTCCAGGAAGAGGTGGAGGAAAGAGAAGAAACGGGGTAAGAGCAGTCTTACTTTCCTGCCTGAATAGATTCCTGATGAATAGATGGATGGATGGGAAAGAGGGATGGATGGATGGATGGATGGATGGGTGGGATGGATGGATGGATGAATAGATGGATGGATGGGATGGATGGATGGATAGGTGGATGGGTAGGTGGGTGGATAGATGGATGGATGGATGGATGAATAGATGGATGGATGGGATAGAGGGATGGACGAATAGATGGATGGATGGGATAGAGGGATGGATGGATGAATGGTTGGGTGGGATGGATGGATGGGATAGATGGATGGATGGGATAGAGGGATGGACGAATAGATGGATGGATGGGATAGAGGGATGGATGGATGAATGGTTGGGTGGGATGGATGGATGGGATAGATGGATGAGTAGATGGATGGATGGGATAGAGGGATGGACGAATAGATGGATGGATGGGATAGAGGGATGGATGGATGAATGGTTGGGTGGGATGGATGGATGGATGGGATAGATGGATGAATAGATGGATGGATGGGATAGAGGGATGGACGAATAGATGGATGGATGGGATAGAGGGATGGATGGATGGATGGTTGGGTGGGATGGATGGATGGATGGGATAGATGGATGAATAGATGGATGGATGGGATAGAGGGATGGATGGATGGATGATCTAAGCACAAAATAACCAGATAGTTTTGGGGCGACAGCCACCAGACTAATTCTTTCTGATGTATGAAGCAGTCATGATCATCTAAGATGTGGGTCTGTTTGATCAGATCAAGGACCACTTCTGGATCTACATCCTCGGATGAAGAGCACCACAATGCTGCCAGAAAATGAAGCTTCTTGACAGCTAAAAGGAAAGAAATGAAAATGCAATGCCCCAGAACTTTTACACACACACACACACACACACACACACACACACACACACACACACAGACAGACAAAGAAGGACACTACTAGGACTTTACTCCCTCTTTTAAACAAATACCATCCTTTGCCAACCCTAGGAAAGCTTTCGCTCCTAACCTTACTTCTCCTCACTTCCCCCTCCCCCGGTTAACGTGACCCCCGAAAGTGCCAACAGCGCCCAAGCTTGGTTGAGAAAAACAGACACACACCCCAGATACCCAGGCAAGTCAAAAAAGCAGCAGAGGCGACACCAGAGTGGTGTTGATTTATTTATTAACTTGGATTCTGGTAGCTGGTGGAGACGGAGGATGGTTCTATACACTGGAATTGGGGATGGAGGGAAGACAAGATGGAGCCAAAAGGCTCAAATTTCCATAACAATAAAAAAGAAAGTAAAAGTAATCCCAAAACTTCTAAAAAGCATCTAGAGTGCAGACACTGGCAGCATTCTCTAGGCATTGCCCTCCTTGACAGCGCCAACTAGCGATCGGCGGGCAAAAGCGGCGCCCCCCGCAGGCAGGCGAGAGGGACGCAGTTCACAGCTCAATTTTTTTTGTTTTTAAATTTTCTATGCACTACTGGAGGCCAAAAGCATGGGGGCGGAGGGCAGGGGTGGGTGGGTAGGTGGGTGTGGGTGGGAAGGCCCACGCCGGAATCTAGGGCGATGCCGTGTCAGCAATTTGGTGGGGGTGGGCAGGCCATACAGGCTGCAAATCAAGGTGATGGGAGGGTGAGGTGGGGTACGAGGAAGTTTGTTCCTTGCACGTCTGGATAGCGACAGTTAGTCTCCCTGGGGAGATGCCTGGCATGGCTTTTAGCCTTTCCTCCAACGTTCACTGCCTTCCTGCCTTTCCCCCCAACCTCCCACCCCCACCCCACAAGCACTTCCTCCTCCTGGTTTGCTCTACCTGGGCAGGGCCAACGTGGCAGGGTCCCAGACGCAGGGGCCGAGAAAGTGGCGCTGCAGTCGGGGAAGAGTGCCATGCTGCCACGGGGTGACCACAGAGGAGGGTCAAGGAATCCAAGATGGTCCATGCTTCCTCTTGATCGTCCCCTTGACTGCTGGGTTATCCCCTGTGCCCACCCGCCCTCAACCCACGTGCCCCTTGTATCCCTTGGGGGCCTCCAAATGTTGACGCAGAAGTCAAAGGAGCCGCCTATTGCTCGGGGCAGTTGTCCCAAGAGTGTAGCTTGTTGGTGGAGGAGGAGGAGTTCTCCCAAGCATTGGGGGCAGCCAATCTTGATGGTGGGGGTGGGGGTGGGGGTGATGGAAGAAAAAGGAGGAAGAGGAGGAGGAAGAGGAGGAACATCACTTCCTCCATGCCAGGTCTGATCAAGGAAGTTGCTGGCGGGGGAGGAGGGGGAAAGGGGGGCAAGTGGGAAGGAATTCAGTTCCCCCCAGCTAGGACTGGTCCAAGAAGTGTTGGCAGGATGCCACGTCTGTGCTGAGTGAGGAGGCCCCCTGGGGTCCTCCCGTACGGAAGTGCAGGCAAGGGTACCATGCTGCCCTTCTCCTGAGCAACAGATTGTGCTGGGTGGAGCCAAGCATCGGCGCACACGGGCGGTTGCACACTTCCAGCCCGGGGCCAAATTGCGGGAAGGCGCCGCGATGCGCACCCTTGGTGGTGTGCCTCAGTAGAGGCTCATGAACTAGCCCTTCTTCTTCTCCTCCTTCTTCCTTTCCCACCCGTCTCTAAAACCACCACTCTGCGTGTGTTGGGCGTGAGTGGGTGTGGGCACGCCTGTGTGCATGTGTGTATGGGTTCCAAGGAGATCGGGAGGAGGCGGGGAGACCTTCCCGATTCGAAGACATTCTGATTCTCCCCTCGTCTCTCGTTTTTCCTTCCCAAAGGGCTGGCTGCCTGCGGACGCTTCCAAGGATTGGAGCCGAACGCCGTTTTCTGCCGAACGCCTCGGTCGTCGGTGTTTGCATAGTAAGTAATCTGTCCATATTCTATTATACATGAGATCTCAGCATTTATCCAAGTCACGCTTTCCATCCCAACCTTGGGAAGAACCACTGGGCAGAGTAGCCAGAAGGGCTCCAGCGAGAAGCCTTCTGGGGTTCCGGATGGATGCATGGAGAGCTGAGCAGAGAGGCAACCCGAAGGGCTGAGCTGGGGAGGATGGGATGGCGAGTGATCTCCGTCCAGCTTACTCCTTCTTCCCCAGGAGGCCAAGGCACCACGTCAAAAGAAGGGGCTTTGGAAAGAAGGCCCCCGCCACGCACACGCAAAACACACAAAACACAATTTTTTGCATCCGTTTTTTTCCTTCTCCTGGGGAATTGTCCCGGCCCCCTCTCCTCTCGAAGTCAGGAGAAAGAACTGTAGCTCATGCGTCGGCAGTCGGTCGGTCATGCGGATTAAGACGGTAAAGTTATGTCTCTTACGGAAATCATGCCATTTAACCTAAAGAATCGCAGACAGACAGCCCTGCCTCTGGAAGCTCGTTGCTCCACTCGCCTGGCCGCATGGAGAGGAACAAGGAGAGTGGAGGTTCAGTGGATGGGTGTTGAGGTGAGGCCCTGGAGGAAGAAAGAAAGAAAGAAGGGAGGGAGGAAGAGGAGAGGCTGGTACCGTCATTCACAAAAGACAGCCCTTAGCAATAGCCCTTAGACTTATATACCGCTTCACAGTGCTTTCCAGCCCTCTCTAAGCAGTTTACAGAGTCAGCCTCTTGCCCCCAACAATTTGGGTCCTCATTTTCCCCATCTTGGAAGGATGGAAGACTGAGTCAACCTTGAGCCGATCAGGATCGAACTCCTGGCAGTGGGCAGAGTTAACCTGCAAAACTACATTCTAACCACTGTGGTACCAGGAAAGAGAAGGAGAAAGGGAATAAGAGAGGAAGGAAGGAAGGAAGGAAGGAAGGAAGGAAGGAAGGAAGGAAGGAAGGAAGGAAGGAAGGAAGGAAGGAAGGAAGGAATAGCAATAGCATTTAGACTTATATACCGCTTTACAGTGCTTTGCAGCCTTCTCTAAGTGGTTTACAGAGTCAGCCTATGGCCCCCAACAATTTGGCTCCTCATTTTACCGACCTCGGAAGGACGAAAGGCTGAGTCAACCTTGAACCTGGTAAGATTCGACCTGCCGAATTGCAGTCAGCCGGCAGTCAGCAGAAGTAGCCTGCAGTACTGCACTCTAACCACTGTGCCACCGCGGCTGCACCCCCTGCTAAGAAGTTTGATCTACCAATCTACCGACTTCTTCAAGTGAAAAGAAGGACCAGGGGTGACACGACAACGGCGTTCCAATATTTGTGGGGCTGCCACAAAGAAGAAGGGGGGGTAGAATCAACCTATTTTCCAAAGCCCCAAGGCTTCTGGTGATGACATAAGATCCCCATCCAGGCCCCCAAGGCACAGTGGCAGCAAGCAGGAACACACCCAAATCCAGGACCCAAAAGGTTGCCAATGCTTACGGTGCAATTGAAAGCTGCATTCGAACCAGGAGCCCGTTTTTCTGGGCTTCCAGAGCGCATGGTGCTCCCACCCTAACTATAAACAGGCTGGCTTGGTCCTACACACCAGCTCCCATCCAGTGGTGAGGGATTCTCCAATTCTCCGAGGTTTGCCACTGGTTCGCTGTGCGCGCATGCACAGTGCATACCAGGTGGGTTCTAAAATTTTTTACTACTGGTTCTGTGGGTGTGGCTTATTTTGTGGGCATGGCTTGGTGAGGGGATAATGTGACTGTGTGGGCATGGCCAGCTTTTTTTTTTTTTTTACTTTTAAAAGCAGTTTTTCTACAACCTTAAGAGATTGCAGAAAAAAATGCTTTTAAAAGCCTCTGATGATCCCAGCTGAGCCGCAAGATCATCAGAGGCTTTTTTTCTTTTTACTTTTAAAAGCATTTTTTCTACAACCTTAAGAGGTTGCAGAAAAAAATGCTTTTAAAAGCCTCTGAGGATCAGGCAACTCAGCTGGGAATGCCAGAGGCTTTTAAAGGCTTTATTCCCCCCTACAACCTCTCTGACGATCCCAGCTGAACCGGGTGATCATTAGAGGCTTTTTTTTTTTTTTACTTTTAAAAGCATTTTTTCGGCCGAAGAGGTTGTAGAAAAAATGCTTTTAAAAGTTAAAAAAAAGCCTCTGATGAGGTGAGCGGGGTAAGCGAACGGCAAGCGGGCCGGGGACTGGTTCGGGGGTGTGGCCAGCCAATGTTATTACCAGTTCTCCGAACTACTACAAATTTTTACTACTGGTTCTTGCAAACCGGTGCGAACCGGGAGCAATCCATCACTGGTGCACATCAAACGCACGCATGCGCACCACAGGCACTACTACACAGCTCAGAAAAAGGAGGCTTAAAAAGGTAAGTAGAACAGCCAGGGGGGGGGGAAGCTGTGCCGCGCGATTTAGATTTGCTAGAATTTCCCGCTTTCTAGCGAATATATATCGCTGAATATATATCGCTGAACTGGGGAGCTCTCACCCTCCAAGCCCCTGGCTTTGTTCCAGGAGCTTTCGGGGAGCTCTACTCACCCCCACTGGCTCTCCTCTCCTTCTTCTCCCGAAGGAGAGTTTTTTCAAACCACCGGACAGCTGTTTAGCGCTGTCAGGGCAGTTTTACGAGATCGCGAGGCTGGTGGTCTATGGAGACCGTCCACGACGTCCACGGAGCCAACCGGAAGCCCCGTACAACTGATTTTTTTTTTTTTACTACTGGTTTGCCAGAACCGCTGCGAACCGGTAGAATCCCACCACTGGCTCCATCAAACCTCTGAAGCCGGAGTGATGCAATAGGTGTACAAATGCATCAATTCGGTTTTTAATTGGCCTGAGGACACAAGGCCATTGTCCATGCATTACACAGCCAGAGAAGGAGTTTCTTGCCCGCTGTTCTATATAGGACAAGCCCCAATTTAGGAGCCAGTCTTTCGAAGGGGGGGGGAAGCAAAGAGAATACTCAATACGGCACAAACGCAGCCATGCTGCCAAGCCACCCCGCCCCCACCAAAAGGCCCTGGGACGTCCCAACAAAAACCTAGGAAGCTCACGTTCTCCATCGAAAGGGCTCTTCAGAAAGGGAGACCTTTAGTCTGAACAAGCTCCCCATCACAGAAACCCACCCACCCATCGCAACCCAAGGGCCGTTTCAGATTGTAGCGAGAGGAAAAACACTCAAAACGAACGCCAATTCTTTTTGCACAAAGACAGAATGCCAGCCTCAGCTGTGGCGCAGAGTTGCTGGAAGCAGGCTAGCATTGGGGGGGTGGGGAAAGGAGGGGGAGGCATTTCTAGATTGGTTTGATGGCGCAGTTTTGCATGCAACGCACAAATGATTGGTTGAAGTTGGCAAGGGGCAAGAAAAGCCCAGCTGACTTTCATGCCTATGTCTCTAGCCTGGTGCCTTAACCACTAGGCAAATCATGCCTTTTCCTACATGACCCTAGAAGTGTGCTGGCGAACCTATGGCATGCATGCCACAGGTGGCACACAGAGCCATTATCTATGGGCACACGAGCAGTGCCCTAGCTTAACTCCAGCGCGCATGCGCACGCCGGCCAGCTAATTTTGGGCCTTCCGGGAAGTCAGGAAATGGGCTGTTTCTGGTCTCCACAGGGCCTCCGGGGGATGGGGAAGGCTGTTTTTGCCCTCCCCAGTCGCCAAGTCTGGGAAGCCTGGGGAGGGCAAAAAACAGACCTACCTGGCCCACCGTGCCATCACATGCCAAAAGCGGGGGAAGCGCAGGGGGGAGTCACATGCGAATGTGTGGGGGGCCAGGTGGGGGGCCAGCTAATTTTCGGGCCTTCTGGGCCCACCAGAAGTCGGGAAACTGGCCATTTCTGGGCTCCGGAGGGCTTGGGGTGGGGAGGCTGTTTTTTCCCTCCCTAGGCTCCAAGAAAGCCTCTGGGTGTAGGCACACACGTGTGTGACCCCCCGCCCTCCCCCCACTTTTGGCACACGACGGCAAAAAGGTCAGCCATCACTGCCCTAGAAGCGAGTGGTGCACCTCGTTTATTAACAGATTAACAGAGTTGGAAGGGACCTTGTAAGTCATCTAGTCCAACCCCCTGCCCAAGCAGGAGACCCTACACCACTTCTGACAGATAGCAGTCCAGTCTCTTCTTGAAAGCTTCCAGGGATGAAGCTCCCACAACTTCTGAAGGCAACTTCTGTTCCGTGGGTTGATTGTTCTCACTGTCAGGAAATTTCTCCTTATTTCCAGGTTGAATCTCTCCTTGATCAGTTTCCATCCGTTGTTTCTTGTCTGGCCTTTGGGGGCTTCGGAAAATAAATTGATCCCCCCTCCTCTCTGTGGCAGCCCCTCAAATATTGGAAGATGCTATCCTGTCTCCCCTGGTCCTTCTCTTCACTAGACTAGCCAGGCCCAGTTCCTGCAATCGTTTGTCCTATTTTTTATCCTCCAGTCCCCTAATTATCCTTGTTGCTCTTCTCTGCACTCTTTCTAGAGTATCTAGATTCCCCCCACCTCAAGTATTAAACACTGCCCTCCCCTCCCTGCCAGTATTAAGAGCAAAGGGATGATTTACCTTCAAAGAAGCCACTGGAGGGGGAGGTCATTGTTTCCCCCTTTTCAGGCTGGCTCGTTTGACTATCTGAGCCCCCATCCTGCCCCCAAGCAGTTCCGATCTCGGGACACTCCCTTGATCCTCGTCCTGGGGGTGGGGGAGACCAGCAAGAGAGAGCGCCAAGCAGGAGCCCATCGCCAGCAAACCCACGGACAGGCGACAGAAGACGGAAGAGAGAGAGAGAGAGAGGCAGGGAGACAGAAGGAGAAGGCGTCAGAGGGCAAGACGGAGAATCCAGAATCCGAACCGAGTAAGGGAACAACGCTGGGCTCAAGACCATCGCAAGCAGGTTGGGGAAGGGGTGGCGGCTGCTCATCCTCTCCAGCCGTCGAGGGGCATGTTTGAAAAAAACCAGCCTCACATCCGGACCCCTGGACTGGAAGGGACCCTCACGATAATCACCTCTTCGTGCGCCCGCCCGTCTTCGGTATCCAGTCGCCGGACCACTTTCCGAATAATCTGTAATCAGAGAGTCAAGAGATCAAGGGTGGGCGGGGGGTGGGAGCAGAGGTGGGTTTCAGCAGGTTCTGACCAGTTCTGGAGAACCGGCAGCGGAAATTTTGAGTAGTTCGGAGAACCGGTAGTAAAAATTCTGACTGGCCCCGCCCCCATCTATTCTCTGCCTCCCAAGTCCCAGCTGATTGGGAGGAAATAGGGATTTTGCAGTAACTTTCCCCTGGATTGGGGACGGAATGGAGATTTTACAGTATCCTTCTCCTGGAGTGGGGATGGAATGGAGATTTTACAGTATCCTTCTCCTGGAGTGGGGTGGGAATGGAGATTTTGCAGTAACTTTCCCCTGGATTGGGGACGGAATGGAGATTTTACAGTATCCTTCTCCTGGAGTGAGGTGGGAATGGAGATTTTGCAGTAACTTTCCCCTGGATTGGGGACGGAATGGATATTTTACAGTATCCTTCTCCTGGAGTGAGGTGGGAATGGAGATTTTGCAGTAACTTTCCCCTGGATTGGGGATGGAATGGAGATTTTACAGTATCCTTCTCCTGGAGTGGGGTGGGAATGGAGATTTTGCAGTATCCTTCCCCTGGATTGGGGATGGAATGGAGATTTTACAGTATCCTTCTCCTGGAGTGAGGTGGGAATGGAGATTTTGCAGTAACTTTCCCCTGGATTGGGGATGGAATGGAGATTTTACAGTATCCTTCCCCTGCCATGCCCACCAAGCCACGCCCACCAAGCCAAGCCTACCAAGCCACACCCACAGAACCGCTAGTAAAAAAATTTGAAACCCACCAATGGGTGGGAGGCAGCAAGGAACCAGGCTCTTTCAAACTTTAAGGGAACCTTTGAGATGTCCGGATTTTAACTCCCAATGTCTATGGAGAGTCTCAATTTTCCAGGGTCATAGTTGTCCCAAATGTGCTTTTCCAAAAGGCAACCAGACATTCTTGGGTTGTTGTATTTATTTATTTATTTATTTGCCCTTGAAAACGTTTCACTTCTCATCCAAGGAGCTTCTTCGGTTTGTTTTGTTTTGTTTGTTTTATTAGATTTATATACCACCCTACTCCCGAAGGACTCATGTCAGTGAACGGGCACACAATAAAATACATAGATACAAAAGTTAAAAAACATAATTAAAACCAGATTAAATAATTTAGCCCGAGACAATTAAAAATCCCAATAATTGAAAACAGATTAAAATTTTCGATTTAAAAGAATTTTAAATTCTTTTTAAATTCTCGGAAGAAGCTTCACGGATGAGAAGGGAGATGTTTTCAAGGGGAAAAGGAAAAAAAAAAAAGGAAGAAAGTCCTATGCTCAAAATTGGAAAAATGGAAAGATACCTTCTGAGTTATCTGAGGAGCTGCCCCCCAAAAAGAAGGGATCAACTTATTATCCAAAGCACCTGAGGGCAAGGCAAGAAATAATGGATGGAAACTAATCAAGGAGAGAAGCAACCTAGAACTGAGGAGACATTTCCCAACAGTGAGAACAATTAACAATTGGAGCAGAAGTTGCCTTCAGAAGTTGTAGGTGCTCTTTTTCAGAAGAGACCGGACAGCCATTTGTCCAGAATGCTACAGCGTCTCCTGCTTGAGTAGAGGGTTGGACTTTATGATCTCCAAAGTCCCATCCAACTCTGCTATTCTGTTATATTCTGTTATCTTCCTTTTTTTTTTTTGCGATAGGCTCACCTTCTTGGTGATAATGTTGCCTTGCTCATCGGTGAATTGTTCTTCGGTCACTTGTTCTCCAGGGATATCCAATATTTCGTTACCCTGGGAGGGGAAAAAAAAAAAAACCACAAGAAAAGCAGAGATCCACTTGAGATCAGGATATCTTCTCCTCTGCCCTCTGTGCCATGTACACAGCTGGGCTCTTCCAATAATTATGTTCGTTTGTTTCATTCGTGTCAGAAACATCGCAATTAAAATAAGGCATTATCGTACAGCATACGGTAGTGGCCAAAATTGTGGAAACCTTTTGGGGAAAGTGTATTTTCGGAAACTAGCTAATAACACCACTTTTTTTTTCTTTTGGAGTCGTACCATAAAATTATATATCAATGGAAAGATAATTTAAGGAGCCTGAGTGGCGTAGGAGGCTAATGCCTCCTACTAAGGCAGCATTTAACATCCAGCTGCCTGCAATTACTGCAAGTTCAATTCTCACCAGGCTCAAGGTCAACTCAGCCTTCCATCCTTTCTAAGGTGGGTAAAATGAGGACCCGGTTTGTGGGGGGCAATAAGCTGACTTTGTATAAAATATACAAAAGTATGAAGGCTATCGCTTAACGCCTTGTAAGCCGCCCTGAGTCTCCGGAGAAAGGTGGCATATAAAAATAAATAAAAATAAAAAATAAAATAAATTAATCAAGAATGTAACGCAATAACTTTTAGGAAGGATTTGCTATTAGAATAGCAGTTACAGGATAAAGAAGAAAAGTGAAAGACGTAGAAAAAATAAGATATACAAAAAAGATCACCGTAGAAAAAACGAGATATACAAAAATGATCCCCATGTCAGTTAATACTTAGTGGGTAATCTTTAGCATGAATGATGGCCTTACAACGTCTTCCCATGGAGTGAGCCAAGTCTTTGAGTTCTGCAGCTGTTCTAATGCGAAACCAAGATTGAATGATGGCTTCTTTAACTCAGTTTTATTGCTGAGTCACTTCTGACTAACAAGTTTCGCCATCGATTTTCAATGGGGTTAAGGTCTGGGCTATTCTCGGGCCATTCCAGCAGTGGAATAGGATTAACTCCCAAAAAAAGTGGTGTTATTAACCAACAAACCTCAAATACACTTTTCATACAGCCCCAATTCAGGAGCCTTCTCAGGCCATCGCTTTTGCAGCAAACTATTTTTTATTTTATTTTTTTACATTGAATCGATATTTACCGACAAAGAACTAAAGCATAGATCTATTTCAAGCTATTTAGCTCCCGTCATTTAGCTTGCCGTACCCTTTCTGGGATTCGAACCTGTACAACGTAACATTTAAAAGATCAAATGCAAAAGGAAAACATCTACCCTGTTTCCCCTAAAATAAGACATCCCCTGATAATAAGCCCAATCTGGGCTTTTGAGCGCATGCACTAAAATAAGCTCCCCCCTTGAAAATAAGCCCTCCCCAAAAATATGTGCAGCCGGTCCCCATTTCTTCCGGTTTCCTCCACTCGCCCCAAAATAATATGACCTCTCTGAAAATAAGGCCAAGCACTTATTTCGGGGGTCAAAAAAATATAAGACAGGGTCTTATCTTCAGGTGAACACGGGTACCAGTGAAATAAATCTTGCCCAGAATCTAGCACTTCCTCTTATGTCCAAAAGTCAGATTCCCTGTCCAGATAAAGTCAGATAAATGCCAGGTTCCAGGCCGAACGATGCTTTTTCGCCAGTTGGCCAAGCTCAACGGGGCTACTACGGAATCTTTTTTTTAAAAAAAGTTTTTTATTTTTATTTCTCATAAACACATTTACATGTACAGTCATTTCCATCATTTTTCATTCATCTTTTCTTTTAACTTTCATTTTTACTTTTTCAGGGCTGCTCTTTTACCGTTTACTTTTATTCCAACCTTTCTTCTTCTCCTCCCCTTCTCTTCCTTCCTGTTTCTCCTCCTACTTCCTTCGTTCTTCCTCTCCTTCTCTTTCCTACTTCCCTTTCTCTTCCCCCACTCCTCTCTTCTTCCCTTCTAACCTTCTCCTCTGCTCCTCTTTCCCCTCCCTTTTCTTCCTCTTCTTTTCCCTTTCTTCTTTCTCCTCTCCTCTCTTCTCCTCTCTTCTCCTTTCCTCTCTTCTCCTTTTCTCTCTCTTCTCCCTTCCTCTCTCTCTACTCCTTCCCCTCTCTCCTGTTGTTTCCCTTTTCAATTCAATCGAAAGTGGTATTTGAGCAGCCCCGATTTTCTAATTATCTTTATTCTCATTTCAACTTCTTATTCCATTGTTATTTATTTTTATTTCATCATTTGCGTACATTTTTATAATATCTCACTTTTTTTCCCTTTTAACCCCCCCCCCTTTTCTCCTTTTACTTGGCCTCATCTGGGTATCTATTTTTTTTAAATTGTTTTCTCCCATCTATTCTCCATCTCTTTTATCTCTATGTCCTTATTCATATTTCTTTTCTCACCTAACTCCAGAATCTTTGACGGGCGCCCAAAAGCTAAGAAGAACGCCTCCTCCATCCGTTTGGGCATAGATTTTCAACTGATTTTAATTTGAACTTTTAATTTTAGACTGTTTTAATGTGCCATTGTGCATTTGATTGGTGTGAGCCGCCCTGAGTCCATTGGAGATAGGGCGGCATATCAACTGCATTAAACTAAAACTAAACTAAACCTCCGTCCCAGGTCCATCGCCCACCCACCACGCACGAAGGAGGGCTACCTGGACGAAGAGACGTCTGCGCACCACACGGGTGGAAGCTGCCTCCTCATCGTCACCCAGCCCTTCGCTCTCCCCCAGCTCCTTGTCCAGCTCCTGGTGGATGTGCTTCAGCACGAACTGGACGGAGCCCTGGGCGAGGTGCAGGAGGTTCTGGCAGCTGACCAGGAAGAAGCCCAGGAGGATTAAACTGATGAGTAGCTGGGTTAGGAAGCCCCACATGATTCCGCAGAAGCAGCCAGGTGGACGATCACATCCCAGCCGTCTTGAGCCTAAGGCCTTCTGCTCTCTATGGCCGTCCGGGTTGGTGGCTGGAGCAACTGCTTTCTTCCTCTCTATCTCTCTCTCTCTCCAGGTTGTGGGAGATGGGGAGGAGGACTGTAATTTTAGCCCGGTCCCAGAGCAGCTGCTCGGCCAAGCCTTCTATCCCCCTTTGTCAAAGTCACCCTGGATTAAGCCTCTCAAGGCAAGAAGTTGGCTGCAGCACACAGCGGTGGATGGATCAGAATCCGTCGGCTGCTATGCCCGGGAATGTGTTGTGCCAATCTTTAAACCAGGTTAGAGTATCTCTCTTAAGCCCAGCCCAGCGAATTGGCAGGCCGAGGGGCTCTATTTCTGGTCCTGCTGGGTCTGCCCCTAAGCGAGACTCTGGCGCTACCCAATTAGGAAACAAGGAGAGTTGCTGGCCAGGCAGATATAAATAGAGCCCGCGGCACAGGCCGGTTTGGGTGAATTGGCCTTCCCTCCCTTAGCAAAAGCAGAAGAGCACCACCTGCTGGTCAGCAGCCCTAACTGCGGGGTTTGCAACCGGCAACCTATTCCAAGGTAAGTCCTCGACTTACGGGCAGTTTATTTAGCGACCATTCAAAGTTCCGACGGCATTGGGGAAAAAAAGTCTACCTGGGCCCGATTTTCACAGTTTACGACCTTGGCAGCAGTCCCGTGATCAAAACTCAAAAGACACTTGGCGAGCGGTTCACATTTATGACGGTTGCAGCATCCCGGGCTCACGCGATCCCGCTTTGGCGACCGTCTGACAAGCAGGAAGCCCGATTCATTTAACAACCGTGTTCCTCGCTTAACCACCGCAGTGTGATCCGCTTAACAACGATGGCAAGAAAAAGGTCGTAAAATGGAGCAAAACTCACGTCACCGAACGAAAGAAACGTTGGGCTCAATTGTGGCCGGACGTTGAGGTCCAGCCTGTATCCTTACCTGCATTGTGCAAAGCAGCTGCTGCCAGAGTCCTCCAGCCACTTGGTCAAGCCTTGCTGCCTCCCCGGCTGGAGACCCCAGTCCCTCTGGAAAGGGGAGCTTTCCCGCTCTTCCGATGAGTCGATCCGCATGTGCTCCAGCGTCTCCCGTTCCCGGCTCCGCAATT